ATTACTTTATTAACCCTTTACAATTTCTTGCATTAGGAATTTGTCTTTTTGCAAACCCCAGCTTGCTCTCCATGAGACACACAGACAGGGAGAGAAGCTTGGGGTCAGAGCGCAGGGTCAGCCATTGTACAGCGCCCCTGGAGCAGTTCGGGTTAGGGGCCCAGCAGAGGAGGATTCCTCTGCTGGCTGCAGGATTTGAACCGGCAACCTTCCAGCCACAGGCACAGATCCTTTGCCACAGAGCCACCACTCCACCCGCTTTGATATCCTATTTCACTTGAGTCCCATTGCATAGCATCTAGGACTCAACCTATGACAAGGCCCATTCTTGTCCAGGCTCTAAGAGAGCAATAGGACAAAATCTCATTAGACATCTTCTCTCCCCTGATGCAAAGCATATATCACAAATGTTTTAATTCCATTGACAGCCACACGGTGTGCTAGCCTGTGACTGTCACAGCACCCCCTTGTTGATGACTGATGTTAATCTGCATGGAGGTCTAGTTCCGAGATGAAATGATTTGTAGACTCTGAGCATCCATGTCATCGTGGTGTTGTCTGGTGTGCTTTTGTTCTCAGGGTAAGGTTGAAATGACCCTGGAAATCCTGGCTGAGAAGGAGGCTGAGGAAAGGCCAGCTGGGAAGGGGAGGGAAGAGCCGAACATGAACCCGAAGCTTGATCCTCCGAAGTAAGACGGATTCATGGGTTCATCCTGTTTTATAATCCCACCACTCGCCTGGAAGCGATATCCCATTAAAATGTACTTTCTTTTTTTTTTTTGGTAATAGTCGCCCTGAAACATCCTTCTTCTGGTTCACAAATCCGTGCAAGACCATGAAGTTCATAGTGTGGCGCAGATTTAAGTGGATCTTCATTGGAATCATTATTCTTTTAATTGTGCTGCTATTCCTTGGAATACTCCTGTATTCATTGCCGGTAAGTGCCAGCTTGGCTTTCGTGCACAGCGGTGATTAAATGTATTTTGGGGGTTTGATTGCTTGGGGTGACTTCTGTGTGGACTTTATCCTCATATCTACATGGATCATTTTTCCTGGTGCAACAGTTCCTTCAGACGTTTAAGGTGGGCTGGCAAGGTTAATTGGGGACTTTCAATTTCCATGTACATGTGAAATCCCTGGATGCATGTGCTCCATGCTTCTTGCCTGATTCCTGACTAGAAACAAGTGGCTTGATGATGACTGAAATCAGTTTTTCCCCATCCAATCAAGATTAGCAATTTAAGCAGCAGCAAACAAAATTAGAAAATTTAAGAATCAGAAATTGTAACGTAGTCACCTGGAAGGTAAATTGTGATCGGAAACCGCAATGTTGATATATATATATTTTTATATCATAACTCTTTATTGGTTTCCATGCACCTGATTGCACCTCCAACTTTGCCATCCTGTTTAGTTCTCTACCCAAAGCCTGATTGATTCCATCTCATAGTGGGCTAGTTAAAAATTTGGCTTTAATATTTCCGCCATGTGGGCAGCATGTGCCATACCCATGTGCAAAAGAAGTCGTACATCCTCAATGGGTAAAATGGCAGGATAAAATGAGGGGTGGTCAGTCTCCATCTTTGTTTCCAATCCCTTTTCATTTAAAACTGAATATTTTCCCCCTGTGAGTAGAGAAGGCTTGAATGCAGAAAACATTTGCTTAAATTTGTTTGATGACATTTCCTCTTCCAACACGATTTCCATCACAGGAAAATTAAATGAGTTTCACTGGTAGCAGTGCATCAGTGCTGTCGGTCACATTTTTAGTCCTTATTACACAGATTGAAAAAAACGTTATTCTTAAGATCTCTGCTTAGTGATATCTTAATAGAACATGATTCCACAAAAGCCAAACCTTCACGATATACTGTATATGAATTGTTACTTCAGTATTGGAATTTGTCAGAATTTCACAAAGCTGAAGGGATGACCAATATGTCTTTACAAGTACAGGTTCTTGGTGGGGAAGATGGAACCAAATTCATAATCTTTATTACATTTACTAAAGAATAATGCCAGACAAAGCATCATATGACTTTCAAAGATACCTTTCTGCTCATCACATGTCCAGGACTGTCCATTTACTGTACTAGCTAGTCTGATCTGGCCCAATGCACCCTGGAGAGGCTGAGTCTGCTACACAGCAGTATCCAGACGTCTGACCTGAGGTCATGTCTGGAAAACCGCTGTTAACCTTTAGTCCTTTGAAGCAGACACTTTTACACTGGGAAGAAAAGTAATTTCTGCTGCTTGTTAAAAACGGTGTGTGTGACGTCATGAAATTTGTTCTCCTTTTAACATTTTCCACTCTACCCCCTTTTTTTTCCAGAACTACATCTCAATGAAAATTGTGAAACCTCTTTCATAAAGGGCAAAAGAGGAATCTGTTCCATTTGAACCATCAAAAGGGTCCACAATGGAAGATGAAATGCTTGGCTGCACTATTGGGCTTCTGTGGACTGCAGACTGTGGCATTTTGTGGCCTGTTTCTGTGTATTTACAGGGTTACCTAATCCTTGTTTTAACTTTTGTAGCTATAATTTTTGAGAAGCAATTCAGTTAAATCACTGTAATTGACCATTGTATAAGGTTTTTCACTTTCTTTTCCTTCACATTATATGACACACAAAATATAATAGTCACTTTTTATGTTGCACTTTAACAGTTTGCAGTTAATTTACCATATGATGTACTGGTTCCACTAATGAAAAGCTGTCTTCTGAATGTCTGGTGTTGTCTTTTAGGACCTTGTAATAGCTACAAAATAGTAAAATGTGGCCACACTTTTTCACTGCCACAGATGCATACTGTATAATAAGACAATGGAAGGGAAGGAATGAACTGTTAAGTCTTTGAGAAGCACAACATTTCTGAAGCTGGTGTCTTTAAGATTCTAATCAGATTTTTAAAAAATAAATTACAAAATAGTGGCTACTTACACCCTTCAAAAATCAAGGTTATAGGTTTCATATGTATCACACTTGTCATACACAGTATATGGATAAATTGTAAGACTTGTCTATGTATGGATTTGTTAAACCATATACTCTTTATACGTTATGATGATTTTAAAAGGGAAGATGTTAAATATGTGCAATTTAATAAAGGAACAATTTATTACATTGCTTTTCTGATCCATTATTTTATATAATTTCTTGTAGTCTGGTTATTGGAATTGCATTTCAATGGAGAATCTTCGCATAAAGGTCCCTAAAGTAAAAGTGTTTTTAAAAAAAAATCAAATGTGAATTACATTTTAACATTCATTGGAGCATAAGGGTGAACCATGCAAGAAGATTCTATTGCTACAATAAGACTGAATTGAAACGTATGGTAACTTTTGATATTGCCAAACACGATACAGTACCAGACAATCAAACGTTCTATTGACTTGGAAAAAAAAGACATTCATAGTTTTGAGATACTGTATAAAGTTTGTCCTGGAGGTAAGAGATTCATCATGAGTGTAAGATGCACACATTTGTGGACCGTATTCCGGGGACACACCTTATTCTTACAAATGCATTAACTACTGTAGGTTGTTGGAATGTGCAGTTTAATCCTAAAACATGTGTGGACTCGAAACACTCCATCATGTAGATGTGCAGGAAATGAACAAGACAAACTTCTAAACAATTGGGAACAGGAGACGACTAATAAAATGCCATAAACTGAAATGATCGAAGATTAGTACCAGTATGAAGAGAAGTTCTACTTAACATGTAGCTCTAGCAGCCTGCTCCATTGCAGGTTTATGTTCTACTGCATCTTTATTATTTAATCCATAATTAAATGGATTAAACTAAAAAGATCAGTGTAGCAATTGAGTAAAGATACAGTACCACATAGAAAATAATTAAATGATTTGCTAGTACTTGTTCCCAGTTTCATTGCATGTGAACCCTTATTTTCTTAAATTAAAAACATAGGTGATAATTTGTCATGAAGACCTAATTGACTGTGTGAAGTGTGTTTCAATCTTCATGAAAAGGCTAAAGGGCTGAAATGTTGAGGACCAACATTCTTTTGTCTGGTGCAGTTTCTCACTTCTGTCTAAACAGTTGTATAGTAGGATTGCTGGTGCATAATGATTGCCATACATCACCCAGTGGGTACTGGACTTCAAGGGTGGGTGCAGCGTTTCCCCTTTTCCATGTACCTCACTCACTTTTAATAGCTACTTAGTCCAGTGAGATGTCAGTGTTGGCTAGAGTCTAACCTCTAAGACCACAAGTGCAAGGCCTGGATTTGTTGCAGGGCTCATGCACACATACTGTAGGAGTCGATCTCGAGATGTCGAAGTAACGCTGTCTAGATTGTCCTCGGACTGTGGCAGGAAACCCTCATGAGATCACGAGAAGACCCTGCGAACTGCACAGCAGGTACAGTAGGTACCAGGTCAGTTTTGAATCCTGCACCCAGGAGCTGTGTGTGAGGCAGCAGCCCTAACGGTCACCAGCATTTCACCCCACCCTGAGATCTTGCAGCCCTGCATGTACAGAAGGGGACCCACTTCGCAAATGAATGTCATAAATGATTTTACAACATGTGAAATCTAGCAAATAACATCAGAATAATGACCGTTTTGGGGAAAGAGTATAAATGTCAGGATACAAAAAGTATATAGAAAAACTTGCACTGAGACTCCGAATGTTCTGTTCATACAGTAATTCTTGTCATTTAAAACTTCCGCAGAACCATCTTGCCCGGGTTGACTGAATCAGCGGAACTGTACTGTCAGAACACTGCCGTCACTTACGTCTCAGTAATCAGCACGACATTAAATTCATTTTCGACAAGGTTGCTAGGAGATCCGTTTTTGAGTCCGCCCCTTTACGAAATCTCGGAGTATGATAGGTCTGCACACCCTTGCCGTTAAGTAAAGTTGTTGTGGAAAGGGGGTTGTAGTATTGAGTACCAAAATACTGAATATTTTAAGAAGTTCGAAATTAGATTGACATATACTGTATGTACGCTGTGTAGGGGATTTCACATCTGTAGCATTGTCTTCCAGGTGCTTTTTGTATATATTTTTTCTTAAAATTGAATTGACAGTATAATGCCTACAATATATATCTGTAGCAAGATGCAAGATTTGAAAATCTAGGTAACTACTGTATGTATTTTGCGTATGGCTACAAAAACAGTACTGGGCTACATACAAAGATGGAGAAAAGCGGGTGTCCGTTGTTGTTCTTTTAAGTCTCATAGGACGTACTGCCAAAAGGACGTCACGCTTCTAACTAAATTCCTATTGTAAGTACAGCTTTTTATAAGGGATTTTTTATGTTTAAATCATAACCGGTTGTCTTAACTGGTAAAACCCGTTTAGGTCAGGCTGTTCTACACATTATTTGAATTCCAGTTTCTGTCGTAAACCCTATAAAGTCGCACAAGGCAGGAGCAACACTAGAGGAGGCGGAGACTGTTCAGTTTAATACGCTTTATTTTACGAATTGTGCGTTTTCTCCATTTCCCTATATAACCTTATTTCTTTCTCTTCTTAAGCATGACCACGTTGTCTGACTGTGAGCCCTCAAGAAAGAGACTGAGGCTGGAAGTTAACATCACCTCCACTTCTACTAAACCGACCACGCTGCTCACAGCCAGACGGATATTGAACAAAGAGATTACCCTAGGCCCTTCCTCGTCTGGCCAGCAAATAAGAGGTCTTTGATTGTTCTTTTTCCTCTGTTCCGTAGCACACGGCCATCAGCCGCCTGTCAAAGAAATCGAAAGTTTGACAAAACCCTTTAATTTGCATGTCTTATTTTAGCTGAAGTGTATCTTAAGATCTAACTCAGTTGTGACGGAGTTAGGTAGATGTTCCAAAACGAAGGGCAAATGTGTCTGATAAGGAATGTATTGAATGTTACTTGGAATAACATTTGAGCACTGAACCATTAGGCATAACAGACAAATGGCAAAACAACAGAGGTTCTTTTGAGTTGAAATAAGTACACTTTTTATTGGACTTGAAAATCCAATTACTTTGACAGCTGTTTGTAAATATTTACAACATGTTAGTAATTGTATATAGAACGCTACCTGTCTCACAAATGTCTTTCAGATATTTCAAGGAACAAATTGAGTAAATTGTGTTCTGTTATTTTTTTAACTTTATTCATCTGTTTTATTTGAATAGATGACCAGATTCCATAAATATCCGTCATTAAATATGAACAGATTATGTTAAGGTAAAAATTACAGTTTGGCGCAATGGTTAGCATTGTTGCCTCACGGCACTGGGGCCCTGTGTTTCCGTGTTGTATTTATAAACATGCTGGTAGGCTTGTTGGCTCCTGGGGAAATCGGCCCTGCTGTGATTGTGTGTGCCCTGCGGTGGACTGGTGTGCCGGCCAGGGTGTATCAGGCTTTGCGCCTGTTACTTGCTGGGATGGGTTCTGGCTCCCCCACTGCCATACAGTGGATAAAATGATGAATAAATGAATGAAGGGATAAATGTTGCATTCAACGAATTTTACATTCAGTATATATCTCCCAGAATAAAGCAGACTGCTAAGAGGAATTTCGTAGCACAGTACTGTATGAAGCACCAAACTTTAAGTTCAGTAACATGTACATGATCATTAGAAGTAAGTCTTGAACTGAGTGGAGTGGAATTCTAGGTGCATGAAATGAAACATCTTTTTCCAGCGTAGCTTTGCAGCAAGCTTTGTAAGAAGAATTAGCTTTGTAGACATTGGACTGTTCTTTAGAAATCAGACAGTATGAAGGTCCCAGTCCAATTTGTTAACAATTCATATGAAAAACAGACTATCCATTATCCTAATGGCTTTAGTTTTGTCATACCATTGCTCATGGTATTTTATTTTATCTTCTGTTAACGGTTTGTTTACATGTGTATATATATAATTAATTGTTGCTTGACAGTAAAATGCAACATATACATGATTTAAAACAGCTGTTATTCTTTTATTAATGCAGATAAGCAGAAAATTGCCCATGCTTACCCTGTTAGAATAAAGGACGTGACAATGGACACAGAAAAGTAAGCAATTTTTAAATGTATGTTTTAATGTGATTTTCTTGAAGGAAAAATAATAAATTCCATGAGTTTAACAACTTCTTCTTATTCATAATGAAAGCTTTGACTGAAATCAGTGTCTTTTTTGGATTTTGCTATACAAGTAATAAAATATAGAGGTAAAAACCTATATAGAGTCAGCTCACTTCACTTCACATTAAATGGTGAAAAAAAGGACTCAGGGCCACAGTTGTAACTTTTAAGGGAATTTGTTCAGGACCAAGAAAACAAAATGCAAAATATTCAAGAATGTGTCGGTATCTGGAACAGGCTTCCAGCCAGGTGGTTGAGGTAAAAATTCTGAGCTCCTTAAGAAGTTTTAGATGATCATGTTTTTATCTGAAGCCACTTGTATTTGCACCCGTTTATACAACTGGGTGTTTTACAGAAGCAATTTTGAGTGACATACCTCGCTCCAGTCTAGAACACCATTGTCCTAAATGAGATTTAAAACCAAAACCTTCCCTTAATGACTCCAGAACCTCAGGGATTGCTCTATGCTGCTACTCAGATACTGAACGATCACGATTGGCTGAGGAAAGCATTTTTAATGTGTGCTAATTTTATTAAGTGGGGAAACACAACAACATAAAGCCCTGTACTGTATCTAATTCAGTTATGTTTGTAATTCCACATTGTTAGTTTCATAAAGTGCATTGTGTAACTTACTCTTTTTGTTAGTGTTATTAACATCTGTGTATATATCCAGGGAAATATATCTTCCCTTCACCAATTCTTCAGCCTCACTAGTGGCTATTTTTAGATATCCTTAAAAAAATCTAAACCTCAGTGAGATTTTTTTTTTTTTACTTGTTGTATAAAGGTCATTCCCTACCTCAGTTAATGTACTCCTTGTCATTAAGATTGTTTTTTGATATTTTTCTGATTACACCTTGAAAAAATAAACCTAAGTAGTTTTGGCATCAATTGCAGCTGTAAGATAAGATCACATTATTGGCCATATATAGTTTCTTGGATTAGGAATTTGTCTTTTTGCATACCTATCCCAACTGCTCTCCATGAGACACACAGACAGGGAGTGAAGCTTGGGGTCACTCTGCAGGGTCAGCCATTTATACAACACCCCTAGAGCAGTTGGGGTTAAGGGCCTTGCTCAGGGGCCCAGCAGAGTAGGATTCCTCTGCCGGCCGCGGGATACGAACCAGCAACCTTCCAGCCACAGGCACAGATCCTTAGCCACAGAGCCACCATACCGCCCCATCTAGGAGCAGATAGTGATTGACAGTATTTTATTTCATTTTTACTGTTTTTTTAGTTGTTTTTGTAATCTTTGTATCATTGTGTCAATCTTTGTGTCATTTGTTTTTTCCCAGACTTGTGAGCTGTAAGGGACTAGAGAAGACTATGATGGCATCCTGTACTGCAAGTGGGAAAGAAAGTGTACAGCTCAGACCTCAGCCCAATGAAAACATGTTAAGCTCAACTAAAAATGAAACTCTGGGAGAGAAAGGCAAGGAGAAGATGGACTCCTTCAAGACCACTACTTATTTGGAAGGTGTTAATTTACAGTCAGTGGGTATCCAGGAAATGTGTACTCCAACGAGTAGTTCTACCACTAGAATGAAAGCTACCTGTCAAGAAAGTTCAGCTAGTTGTGAGCAAAAGTCTCAGAAGCCTGGCACACTCGATGACTGGTTCATCAAGCCAGGATCAAAAGCGACAGCTCAGAGAGCCGAGCTCAGCGCCGCCCCCACTCCCGAAGAACAGCCGCAGAGCGGAGAAGACTGTGGTCGGCAGGATGTGGAGATGGTGAGTCCCGAGAGTCCATCAGGCAAAGCCTTCCAACCTGAAGACGCTGAAGACGAGGGGCGGCCTTGCAGAGCGAGCGAATCCTGGGGCACTGTAGCGGGCGATGCTCGCGCTTCGGCTACGGGCAGACGAGCACCCGGCGCCAAGCCTTTGTCTCATCCCGGTGCCGGGGCTCGCGATGAAGAGCCGCTCCTGCCCAGTGACACCAGAGATGCCGGGAGTTCGGATGGCATCGCTTTGGAGGTTAAGGAGGACAGGAAGAACAGCGCTCCAATGGACACCGGTGATCCCGACAAGCCCGAGTCGCCCGGCCCCTCTTCGGCCGTGCCCAAGGGCTCAGTGAAACGGGATTCCAAAATCACTGACTTTTTCCAAAAAACAAACCCGGAAACGTCACCTCCAAGGTACGTTTTGTGTTTGTTCATGAAATCTCAAGAACTCTCCTCATCTTTTTGAGAGAATAATATATGTCGGCCTACTGTTCTAGAGGTGGCATGCCTGCTTTCGATAGACTAATAACACTTTATTGGATTTTTATATTGATGGTGCGGTGGGTCAGGGCTCAGGTGTTCACGTATGTCAATGTAAGGTAAGATAAGATCACTTTATTAGCCACATACAATTTCTTGCATTAGGAATTAGTCTTTTCGCATACCCCAGCTTGCTCTCCATGAGACACAGACACACAGACAGGGAGAGAAGCCTGGGGTCAGAGCTCAGGGTCTGCCATTGTACACCGCCCCTGGAGCAGTTGGGGTTAAGGGCCTTGTCAGGGGCCCAACGGAGTGGGAATGTGGGAGTGTTATTGTATTCTCTTTAATAGCTCAAGATTCATGGGGGACTGGTTATTCTTTTTGTCCTGCCCGATTTTATTTTTCTATTTAGAGACTGAAAAGTCAACTGAAGTTGAAAATGTGGAATAAAGTAATCACAGCAGTGACAATCACAAGTAATCCTTATCAAACTATTATAAAATTAGCTGTCCTTCCTGCTGTCAGTAATCTTTTAACTGAACTATATGAGTGCATTTAGCGACGGAAGTTCATAGTTCTGTCGTGTTTTCATTACGTGCTTTAAACCTCTACATTCACCTCTGACATTACAGTTCTGATACATCCTGTAGATTTCTTGTGCAACTTGCTAATAATAAGTTTCATTTTGACTCACTTATATTTCGTTGCAAATACACAAAATATTTTTATTTTTATCATTGTTTTTGTGTAGAACATGATAGAATGTCCACCTGTATAATTATATTAATTTATTTCCATACGTGTACGTATAGTAGTATTGTAGTATTATTTTTACATATTTAAACCAGCTGAGCTTAATGACTTTATAATTTGGAGAAATAGAAACCAAAAGTAAGTTAGGTGTCACAGGGAGGGGAACAGACTCTATGTGAGTTCCTACTCAGAACATCTACTTGTACTGTGTACTCAGAACGTCTACTTGTACTGCGTCTACTTGTACTACTTGTACTGTGTAGACAGAGAAGATCAGGGAAAGGGAACTCTAGATGGATTCTAAAAATACAACAAATACGATAAGTTTTCTAAAAGAAAATACGTTTCTCATTACAACTGCTGTTGCTATTGTGATTGTTGCTTTTGTGATGAAGGTCTGTACATTGATTTATTTGAAGCACCTCTCTATGCTGAACCCATTGAAGGAGTTTATGTAGAGTTTCTAAACACATTTTACATTTGTCTTTTGTTCTGAACAAGTTACTGTTTCCATGTGTATGGTTTATTATTTTTCACCTGATGCAGAGACATCAGAAAGGTCTTTGACTCGCATTTCTTTCTTTTCTTACCATCTTGGTATTACTTTAGATACAATTCTTTTGTTCTTGCTTGTTATTTATAAATGCTACAAGATCTGCATATTTCTAAGACAGAAAAGATTTTAAAAGTACATCTCAAGAAGTAGTAGTCTATATGAATTTGTGAAAGTTCAAGTAGGGAGCTGTTCCCTGTATTCTTTCTATCTAAAGAGTTGTGAAATAATTTTTTAGTTACTATCTACAGAAATGTTCCATGTTTTGTCTTTTTTGGGTCAGGGCACCTGTTGTTTTTACATTGATGTTTGCCTTGTGTGAAAAGAACAGCACTGGGAGAAATAGTTTACTTCATATGGTTTTGTATAGGTAGTCGTTTTGCACAAAAAATTGAATAGTGAACCCACACGTATATTTTAGCTTTTGTAGTTCCTCAAATACATGCCTTCCTTTCTAGAGGAATGCTTTGAGCTGAGTAGCGAAGGATCTGTGCTCCCAAGAAGATCTGTCAGGGAGCTACCTAGATCTCAAGAAATATGGATACAGAAGTGTTAATTGCTTGCAGACCTGTTAGCTTATAGCTGCCATAGGGGCTTAATTATAATAATGTAATTTATTAACAATAACTTATTATATACCTGTGTGATAGTTTTAAAACTCTTTGTACTGCCTTTTCCTGGGAGAGTAACATGTCATTTAACATTGTATCTATATCTTTACATTCTTTTTCTAATACAGGTCATATTTCAGCAGTAGAATAGTGGGGTACTACAGTAGGTTCATCAAGATATGTGATAGTCAACAAGAACAATACAGTATGCTTTGTAGAAAGAGTGCATATTTGTGTGCATTGTATTCTTGTTCGTTACTTCCAGCTATTACAAAGAGGAATAATAAAATGAAACAGGCTGTTCTATAAATAAAGTTAAACTGCTGGTATTGTGCTGTATAATTAACAGATGAAAAGCAAACTCTTTGGTGCAGCTGTTGCATTACTCACCACACACAGGAAAAACTATTGGGACAAAGAGAAATCCTTTTCAAACACTCCTAAAGGCGAATATCCACTGAAGTGGAGATCACTATTGTAAGTGGATTAAGCTTTACTTTGCAAAGCAATGTAACGACCATGGTTGTGTCTGTTCCTTTTAATATTTAGCTTTCTCAAAAGAAAATGTTCTTGGATTTTTCTTGCTCTCGGGACTTGTGTTAACATCGGTGTACTTGTTTCCCTTTGTCTTTATTCAGTGTGCCATCCCAAGGTGATGTCAAAGATGGGAGGCTCCGCAGGATGCCACACCACAAGGGAACACCCCCTCCCGGCACGACCTGGCTCGGGACGCCCATCGAGGAGCTGCGGAGGATGCCCACATGTGGCGCACAGCTACCACCCCTCAAAGCATCGACAAGCCATACAGTTATGATAAGAGTAAGAGGCCGTGCTCTGATTAGCGCACACTGTTCTCACTGAATTCAGAACTGAGAGAACGCTTCGTTCTCTGCTTCATTAACTGGCATGTTTCTACTTAGAGGTCTCTCATCCCCATATTAACCAGGCCCAGTCTACCTGCCTTCTGAGATCTGGCAAAGTGTGGCAAAGCTGGATGGTGGTGAAACATAACACCCAGAAATGTGCTTTTGTCTAACATTGCTTTTCTGTGGGTTTTGACAGACAGACTTACTCAGAGAAGGAGAGGTTCCTGTCCCTTATCCATCAAAGTATAAGGATGCGTGGGATGACACTTCAGTAAAGATGCCCTATTCAGAAAAGAACCTGTATCCTGTGGAAAATGAGGTAATGCACACTAGGTGGTGCTGTATCTCCTCTTCTAGACACTACATGAGAAGTTTTGTGTAAAAAATAATTTGTAAAAATAAATGTGTACAAATTAATTTGTATTTTTTTTTATTTGTAAGTGTTTTATTAGCATTTGTAATTATAATTTGCAAAAGATCTTGAATCTTTATGTGCAGGATATAGTCAGTCAGCTCTCATTAGGGCAGCTTGTTTTGATGTCTGTTGAGATTTTTTCCTCTTGTTCACAGATTGAGTTGTATTTCCAACAAATAGACATGTTAAAATGGAGTGCAGTTTTTATGCTATGTAGTATCAGTGATATTAGAATCGATAATCCCTAGTGATGTAACTCTGAATTAATTGAATATCTGCAAGAACCAAAATAATAATGTTCAAAAAATAAATGTTAAGTTTATAATAACTAGTTGAGTAAAGTATCTCCTTGCTGAATCTGCAGTCCCATCCGTAGCCAGGGGGGTTACTGCCAGACCAGAGCAAGAACTCAGTTAAGAGAGGCTTTTAATATTTTAAGAACTGAAAAATTAAAATTATTCTAAATTCACTCATTCTGATCATCAGAAGCCTTTTTTTTAAGTGCAGTATTAGCACCTGGTATTAGTGGTTATGAGTAATTGGCAAATGTTTTTGATCCCTTTACAGGATGGAAGCTCTGGGCTGCAGAGTAGATGGAAGCTGATAATTTTAGCCTTGGAGGGCAGATTTAGTAGCTCACTTGATGTAAAGGTAATGAAGCTTGCACATCTTGTAGTTTTAAATGGAATGTATTTTTTTGTATATATTTCTTTTATTTAAATAGTTGTAATCCATTCTTAAATGTTAATTAGCTCTTATTATTATATCTCCACACATACAGTATAAATGTAAGGTAGTATAAAAAAGCTCATGAAGATTCGGTTACTAACTTATAAAAGTTTAAACAGTTAAATAAGAGTGGCATACCAATAATATACTGTATGATTGTCGTGAAAAGTTTTAAGTCCTCTTTATTGCAGTCAGTTGCACTTATATTGCAGTGAAATACACAACTATGTAATAATAATTGATAATTAATGTTTTAATATATTGCTATTTTTAAAATATTGATATTTAATTCTTGGTCTAGAACCTGTTTTAGGTTGAGGTTTATGAATTACATAGTTTTAAACTTTAAAATGTAATTGTAGACTCAAGTAATAATGATATTCTTTCAATTGTAGGATGCCATATCGAGATACAATGTCACACACTCCAAAAGGTGGGACTTCACTGCTCTCAATTTGCTGTGTACAGAGGTAAGGAATGAAAGTCCGTGAACCCCAGTTCCTCATGGACTGAGGATTGAGGTTTTGAAGCTGACAAAAAAAAAAGAAACTAGTATTTCTGTCTTAATGGTCCAGGAGATGTGATATGAAAGAGTGGATTTCAGTGAATAATAATGCATATGATTCAATCAATTAACATGTGCTCCTCCCAGTTATATTTGTCCAAAAAAGGTGACATTGCAATCTTGTGTAGTATTGTGAGACATTTGAAGTTAATCCAGTTGTTTTGAGTATTGTCAGGATATCTTCTTCATCATCCCTCTAATGGAAAGTCACTCAGCAGAAGGCATTTTAAACTCAAGCGTAAATGCTTGTAAACATTGCAACTGATTAAAGTTGTCGAATCTTGTGCTGTGCAGATGGACCATTGGCCTTTAATAAATCTGTCAGTGCAAAATAAATTGAATAAATGTGTCCTGAAAGGACTTCATACTCCGTAATGTGATGTCCTTCAAACGTGAAATTTTAGTCTAGATGTGTTATGAATGTTAGTTTTTACATTGCTGTCCTATCAAGATTATTCTGGATGACAGATAAAGTTTACAATACCTACCTTTTCACATTGTATGTAACAACATATACTATAGAGCACTTTTATGCTGTGTAATACCTCTGGAATTAAACATAAAGCTCAAGATCCTAAATTTTAGAAACATTAAACCCACCATTTAGAACTATATTCTCTCACATTGCATCTGCTACACTGCTTACCTTAGGTCTCTTGTCTGCATTTCTGATTTTAATGCTTTATAATTACTGGTTGCATTATTTCTAGAGTGTACAGACTTCAGACTGGTGCTAGTTTCAGTTGAAGAGCCTGTTTAGCTGGATAACCCATATCGATTACTAAACGGTTTTGATGAAATTTTAATCAAATGACTGAACACCTATTTTTGAGAGCCCAATGAGGAAACATTGTCATGAGAAAGGATAATAAGCACTGGATCAAAAACCTATTAACCTTTGGAAACAGAAAACATCTGCATAGTTTAACCTTTCACACTTATCCATTGTGTTTTCACAGGATTTATTCTGAACTGTTTGTTATTATATCACTGTCAGTGCAAAACACAGATGAGTCTTTTTCTCTACTCTGATTAGACAATGGACTTTTGCCAAGATATGTAGTGCCGTTGTGTCTTTGATGCTAATATTAGTCCACCTCCTGCCAGCTACCTAAGATCTAATTCATGGTGTTTTATAGCTCCCCTGTGTTCCACTAAATTAGTCCTGAGACAACTGGCAATAATTTATACTGTAAATGAATCGATACACTTAATGTTGTAATTTTTCACTGGAAATATAACAAAATTCCAAATATATCATTACTGAAGGGCACGTTGTCTAATGCACAGAAGCTACGTGAATTAACTCTTCATAAAAATTAAGACATTTTTAAACATTACATTTACTGTGTTCAAAAAACAATTACGTGATGGATAATACAGGTCCAGCTCACTTTAACCGAAGGAAATTATAGGAAATGTTTTTTTCTGTAGTTCATTTAGGACACCTGTGCACATTTATAACAAACAAAATTGTGAATCGGGAGATTCTACTTTTATCATTCACATGAATATGACTAATACAGAAGTTTTTACTAGTGCAATAAACTTCTGAGTCTGTCTTTATGGGAATAGCAAAGGTTTATAGTCATCCAGATGAATAGCTGCCTCTCTTACCAACTTGCACCTGCTCATAGGGAGGTGTCTCAGTGGCGTTCATTGTGGACTGATGACTAATTAAGGTAAAGACGTGCACAAAGCATGAAATCAACAGCTGTCTCTGATGGGCCATGTATGAGATGGGATCAATTTGCCCTAACTAAAGAGATGCAAATATGGCATTTGAAAAGCAGTAATAGTTGATTTTAAGTGACAAGTCAGTTCCCTTGAATGGCCCTCTTTCCCCCATAGGAGCAGGATTCTAAATTGTTTTTATTTGAAGTAATTCTATCAGTGGCTGTGCTCTCTCTTTCTTTATGAAAATGCAGTGTGGGTTTTAATGGCTACATTGTAAATAACACAGAAGACGTTTTTTTGGTGACATACTATGAATAATCCTTTGTCCTCTGAATGTCTTACTTTCATATTAAGGCTTTAGCAGCTCAGCTATCAACTGTGCTCTGTGCACAGTGTTAAGGCACTGCAAAGTATTTACATAAAAATTGTTGTTGATGGAAAACTTTTTCCAGTCTTCTAGATGATTGATGGAACATTAGTTTTGATGTTTGGGACTGACGAATGACAAGATGAAAGGACAGTCTGTTTACCAGCCTGATAGTTAAAGCACTAATTTTTTTAAATTCACATGACATGTCTTAAGGAGAAAAGACCGAATTTATTAACATAATGCGGATGATCAATAATTCAATTAATTAAAAAAATATTTTATCATCACGACTAGGACAACAAATTTAAGTAGATTTAGATTTATTATTTCTTTTTGAAGGAGATGTGCTTAGAAAATGTTGATTTAGAATTTTCTTTTTAATGTTTCACAGGTAAAATTCACTTTTTTAAGTAAATGCCGGTCCAAGTTACATCACGGGGTTAATAACTGGGTTTGGCAACTCTGCCAGCCATCCCTATTAATCATACCTTAATGAAAGCAAAGTCTTGCTCAGAATTCCTATCCTTTACTTGGAAGAATTTTATTGGGTGAGTCAGATTTTTCTGGATCAATAGCTGTCTGTGTCATTTTACAGCTCAATCTAATTTAATTAAAAAGAGCCATTAAATCTATAAGGTAGCTAATAAAAGCCATTAGCAAAGAGCAGCCAGTTCTAATGAAGCACCGTTGCTCCAGCTACACTTGCTGTCCATTTAAGTGCTTGAGCAATGCATTTTATTCCTCTCAAGACTAGGCAGTAAGTGAAAGAGGAAGAATGTCACAAAACTCAGAGTGATCAAGGTCAGGGGTGGCACAGGCAGTGGCAATACCAAATCCAGCAGTTATGATTTCACATCTGCATTGTCTTCATCTCCTAATGCACACGGAGTTCTGCTGTCATATTACAGTGTCTGTCACTTTATTTAGTTTAGTGTTTGACAGCAAATGCAGACAACTGTACTTCCAGGAATGTATTTTTTTACTGCTCATTATACTTTGAAATATCAAAAGGACATGGTTCTAAACATGTTGACGTCTTGGAGGTAACTTTTTTGTTGTATATTGTCGCCATTAGCCCTGCCAACTAGTGAGTTCTTAGGATCTTAGCTTTTTTTTGATTGGATCCTTTAACTTCAATCCGTGACTGCCTTAAAAAGACTTCTCTTTTATTCAGGATCTGAGTTATCACAAGTACTCTTAATATAACACAGAAAATACAGAGTATAAGAAATTTTAATAGAAGCCATTTTTAGTTTTATTGAAAAAGACTATAAAATATGAAATTTCATTTTAGTAATACTATAAAGTTGAAAAGCCACTGTGTTACCAAGTTTAAAAGTCATGATGAATTGAAAAATGGGTAGGGAAGTGTGACAGGAACAAATGTTAAATTAGTTGTTTTTTGGAAAGATAGACAATACAAAGAGTGGTGGTGAGGTACTATAGATAGATCAAAACTGAATTACAATCTACAAGATTGAAGCAAGAGACTACAGAGAGTTTTGAATTTTGCAGAAGTATTCACCCCCTTCCAATGATGCCCACTATGTGACATATTCCACATTTACACAGAGGGTTGTGGGTGTATGGAACAAGCTTCTCTACTTCATCACGTTGTTGAAGCCGATATCCTGGATTCTTTCAAGAAATGCCACAATGATGCCAAAAATATTAGGAAATGTGTATTGGGCTAGATGGGCTGGATGGCCTTTCGTTTGTAAGGGTTCTTGTGCTCTGAGTGGTATATATCACCAGTGTATATATCACATGGGTGATTCTGAACTGCAGGAAGCCAAGCAAAAAAGGCATTTATGGGCTTATGTAGGTTCTTCTACTGTATGTATTCATTAAGACAATGCAAACACAGAATTGGTGGGTATGTCATACTCAAGCTTTACAGCACACTAGTAAGAACTCATGAAGGAAATTGTGACAGACAAAAACACAATAGCCTTAGAGTGAATTCAGAGAACCGCAACTTGAATGATTCCTCAAGGCTTTGTCGTATACAGACAGGTTAAAGGAGCTAATTGCTTCAGTGAAGAGCAAATTAAATTCAGCTTTCATTGAAATAGAAAGAAATCTAAGGGATACAGAGTTAACATTTTGGTGAGCTTTTGCTGAAGGTATCTTATATTTAATGAGTTGTACCCAGTATTAGATCCCACAGCTATTAAATGTAGCTGAGGCTTACTCTTTATGTTCTAAATGAGACTTATTGAAAAATTACTACATGTAACAGCCTCATTTTAACTTTCACAGTTTTTCCTGTATTTGAGCCACAGGGGGCACTGTTAGACAATTGATTCTTTTTTTAAAACTTTTTATTTAGCAATGAAAGGATTTACAAACAGAACATAACCAAAACAGCAGAATAAACATATGCCTTCATCTTAAATTTTTGTTACATTGTATAAATAAAAATTAGCTATTTAAATTATGCCAGCAGGTATGTAGGGCCGTACAAAAAAAATCGAATTGTTTGATAAGAAACACAACACATAGATATCACTGCATATTTTCTCGTTAACTAAAATCAGGTCCCTGTAGGGAGATAACTTTAATCCATGTTTCCCAGTATTTGCTAAACCTCTCTGCATGCAATCTGAGAGAAAAAGTTATTCATTCCATTTTATAGATCTCATTCACAACATTAACCCATTGCTCATGTGTTGGAGGTTCTTTTATAAGCCATTTTCATGTAATTGCTTTTTTACTAGCTGCTAGAAGAATCCCTAGTATATATCTATCCTTTACTTCAATATCATCAAAGTCGAAATTGCCCAAGTATATAACAGAAAATGCAAATGGTATATTCACATTTACTAAATTATTAAGAGTTATATGTATAGATTTCC